ACAGTTACCTTTTAATTCGTGGAAATGTCTAGTCGAAAGCACGTAATTTTGATGACAAAGGGTTGCGTGAGCCCAGTGACACCCGTTGTTTACAGTGCGATTGTTTTTTTTTTTAACAATTCATTTATTATTCCTTAAATCACTGACTTTGTTTTATATCATCACCATGTGTGCGTTTTATTATGTTCGCTTTAGTTTAATTTAACTATGTATTTCAGTGAGGATAGTTTGTTTTACTTTGCCTTGAAATTACCATCCTGCACCCCACAAATGTTTCGAAATATCCGTTCTCATATATACCTGAGATGAAGTTCCGCATCCCATCAAATAAACACGAATTAAGCAATATTGCATATTTGGTTAATTTGAGCATTTTCTACCCCACAAACAATTTTTCCGAAAGCCAATAAGTTGGAGATGGTCCGTGCTCCCCCGTTGCTCCGTGCTTCGTGCCTCGTACAAAACTGACTACGTGAGCAGTGTGGAGCGAGCGGACCCCGTCGGGGGGGGGGGGGGGGGGGGGGGGGGGGGGAGCTTTGGCATACGCCTACGCCACTGCCTATGCACGCATAATGATTTCTGATAAACTGCGATTGTTTTTTAAATTTGTGAGAATAAATTCTGATTCACAACTACTGCGGGATTTGCGTCCGGGTAGTACGGTATTTCAGCTGGAACTGTTCTTTCATTTGGCGCGCAACTCGCACGCTAAATATGTTTCTATGAAACTTACCAATGTATAAGTCCTCGTGGCAGTTAGTTGAGTTGAACAAGTACTCCGTGAACTGACGAGCGACGCCTAACAAGACGCAATGTATGTAGTCTACATTGAAACCCCACACCAGGTCGAAGTTGGGCAGGGTAACGAGAGGAGAAGGTCCCTTGACCCCGTTGACTGACACCCCACTCTGCAGGGCCAGCTTCATGCCTCTCAGCACTCCTTCCGGTGTTCTCACTTATACTGGTACAGCGCCTCGTTAACACAGGCTTTCTAAAGTGTAAACCAAGAGCAGCAGAGTTTGACTTGGCAGATTTAAATAGAGTCCAAAAGCAATGAGCGTAACCAACGGGAAGTTAAGAGAAGCAAACAGTGTACAGAACGTAACATCAAGAGACCTTCCCCCCATGTGCTCTTCACTAGCCAAGCACCAGGGGCACCCGAAGTATCCATTGAAGTGGGTGTGGTTCAGATCTTCAGCCCGCGCTGGCGCATCCACGCAGCGGGCGTGGACCTTGCAAGTCATGACAGTGGAGTCGTTCTCTTAGGTTACGGTGTCGAGAGACATCACTTCTTCAACAAACTTTGTCATAAAGAGGCCCATGTCCGGATGGGTTGCGCCAAACCAAAGTCATGCCAGGGCACAGTGGTCGAACCGCACGGTTGGTGGAAGCTCATTGATGATAAGCTGGATCGGCCAGACGCCGGATCTTGAAGACTTATACAATGGGCTGCCGTCCGTATTAAACGTGATAGTTAGGTCAGTCCACTCAAGCACACCCGTCTGCTGGAGGTGCTTGTAAGCTGCTCCGCTTGTGATGTAATAATAGTAATAATAATAGGAGTTTATTTGCCAACAAAGTACAGGCTGGAGGGCGGTTTGGAAAAAAAGCTGTTAGCACAGCTTGACTGGTCCCAAGCCCCCACGACATCAGCAGCGGCAGAAGAGCGAAAAATCAAAGAGGGTGCCTGGGCTTCTTCCCTGAGCTTCACCAAGTTTTCGTAAAGCACTCGCTTTGTTTCACTTATCTGCTGTATTTGATGTTGCAGACTCATTGTGATGAAAAAGCAACCAGCGCTTTGACCTTTGCAAGATCGCATGCCATTGCACACTTGGCACAGACTTGGGTGGTTTGATGCTCGCTTGAATCAAGCAACGATCCGAAGCTTTTACAATAGTAATGGTACTTTACCACACCTTTATTTTTTGGGCACCCAAAGCTTCCGGAATACGTACTTGCTCCGCGGAAACACGTCACTTCAAACACCGAACATTATGTTTACCAAACGCAGTAGCTTGTCCAGCGCTGACCAAGTCAAGTTTTCCGACGTCAGGAAGGACATAATGAGGGCAACAGCCTCTGCTTTGGTTGTCGTTGAGTGGGGTTGTGTGGAATGGCCGTATTCCGCAAAGCTGTCGGCGAAACATTGTGCTTCATTGTAAGCGGGCGGCGACACGCTGCCGGGAACGTCATGTTCTTCATCGATTATTTCCTGCTGGCAGGGATCGCCATGATCAAGTTCTGTCTCCATGTTGCTTCATTCATACAATGACTCGTCGAGGCAAGCACCAGTTTCGAGTTGGTCACAGAGTTCTTCGGCAGGGTCGTCGGAAGTGGACAATGTGGGCTGCCCGTATCCAGACGTAGAAGGAGAAGGTGAAGCCTTGCCGCCGGGCGCAATGCTTCTTTCCAGGCAACAACCGCGCTCGGTCCGGTTCCGGCATTTCGTTGAATTCGGAATTATGAACTTCTCATCCTTTTCTACATCGTTCTTCCTACGCTTACTCTTGGGCACTGATTCCATTGTCGTGGCCCCGAATTTACCCGACTAGCAACTAGCACTCGTCACACCTTGAGCACGGAGAGCACGCACATACGATTTTTTTTTTTGAAGGGCAAAAGTCATGGAACGCGAAACCGAGATAAATTTGAGTTTTTCTTGTTTTGTTTCTGTATAGTTTTGAGCCCTGTACTGCGGCCGCCTGTACAATATTTCTTCTCACATAATATGACGGATATCACTTTGATACCTACTGGAAAGATGTCCACTCAAATATTCTTCCAATTTGAGCAAAAATTACCTTGCTTTCGGTTTATTTCAGATCGGTTTGGATTGGCTTTCATAGCTGCAAGTCAGACACCAACGCCTGACAAACAATGTTTTTAGAGCGCAGCTCTTAGGGGCCCGTTTCCGGCTTGAGCGGCGTCGCCGTCGGCGTCGCCGTCGCCGTCGCCGTCGGCGTCGGCGTAACCGCGCGGTGCATCATGGGAAATGTCCCATAATGCACCGCGCGAGCCCCCCACCAAGGTCACGTGACCTCGTGGGGGGTCACGTGACCCCCCGAAGTCACGTGGCCCCCTCCTCGAGGTCACGTGACCCCCGCCGATGTCGCGTGACCCCCCGATGACGTCATCGTCACTGATGACGTCACCGGCATCGACATCGTCATCGTCATCATCACTGATGACGTCACCGGCATCCACATCGTCATCGTCATCATCACTGATGACGTCACCGGCATCCACATCGTCATCGTCATCACTGATGACGTCACCGGCATCCGCATCGTCATCGTCATCATCACTGATGACGTCACCGGCATCCACATCGTCATCGTCATCATCACTGATGACGTCACCGGCATCCACATCGTCATCGTCATCATCACTGATGACGTCACCGGCATCCGCATCGTCATCGTCATCGTCACTGATGACGTCACCGGCATCCACATCGTCATCGTCATCATCACTGATGACGTCACCGGCATCCACATCGTCATCGTCATCATCACTGATGACGTCACCGACATCCGCATTGTCATCGTCATCATCACTGATGACGTCATCCGTGACGTCACTGATGTCGTCACCGGCATCCGCATCGTCATCGTCATCATCACTGATGACGTCATCAGCGACGTCACTGATGACGTCACCGACATTCGCATCGTCATCGTCATCATCACTGGTGAAGTCATCAGTGACGTCACTAATGACGTCATCGGTACCCGCATCGTCATCGTCACTGATGACGTCATCAGTGACGTCAGTGATGACATCATCGGCATTGGGGGTCACGTGACCCCCAAGGTAACGTGACCCCCCCCCCCCCTGGTTAGTTTAACCCCCCCCCCCAGTGCCCTTCCCTCCTCCTCCTCAAGAGCTGCGCTCTAATTCGGCGTTACAGGGAGTTGTAAGCGGCTTTCATTTTTTAACAACAAACAAACTAAACATGGTAAATCCTTTTGAACATTTCAAATGTTTTAAAAATTATACGAGTAATAATAGCACTAATATAAACCAAGGCAGAATGTAAGTTCAATCCAGTCCAACCTTTACGTATCCACGCCGCCCACGCCAGCTGGCCAGTGCTCTGGACCCTCTGACAGCTCTGGACCAAAGCAGCCGAAGACACGTTAGGGTTATCTTGAGCGGTGGTTTTGGTCTCGATATGTTCTACGCGTACGTTACTCACCTTGATGGCGCTAAGGCTATCGTTAGCGTGAACTGTATAAAGAAGTTCAAGCCGGCGAATGTGAACAATTTCGACGCCGGCGTTCTGCAGAGCGTCTATTGAAAGGCCACTGGAGCGTGAGCCGGGGAAGGCTACTAAAAAGCGAAGATCCAGATGCTTTGTGGTAAGAACTTGTTTTCTATGCATCACGGGCCCGCAGCACCATGTTTACTGCTAACCGTTAATGTTCACGAGCCCCGAATTTTTGACGAATTTCACGCGTCCGTAAAATAAGCGAAATTTAAGGACACGTGGAAAGCGAAAATTTGGTGGGCCTCTGTTCTGGCGTCCCCCGTTCCGGCGTCTAGGATTCCCGAAATTCGGTAGGAACAAATATGTCCCTGCGCCCGATTTTTAAAGAACTGGGTGGCGAAAGCAAAGGGTTGCACTACAGTGGCTTAAAGGGGGTAGTGTGGTTATCGCGTAGCCTCCACCATGCATCGGGAACGGCCACTCCTTGGAAGACGATGTAGGTGGCGCTTCGATCCGCAGCTTCGTTGGGTGCCTCAATCGGCCGGCAGATAGAGACATCCTAACACGCTTCATAACTAATATAAATACATCAAAAACAATTATTTGTTTCCAGTGAGCTTCCAACGACATGATTTGTGTTTGAAGGTGAATAAAAAATGTGAAACTAGCAGACGAAAGTGTAGTCGACAGCTGCGAATCGGCCGGAGCTGGCCGGAGCCAAGCTGACCAAGCGGCCAAGCCGGAGCCATAGCCGGAACGACGGTGCTGCAAGCGCCAGCGCCACCCGCGGCCGTCTTCCAACGCTGTGCTGCTTGTCCGGTTTCGTTCGTTACACTACCCTCTTTAAGCCACTGTAGTTTTACATTGTTGAACTACAGGGTGGTCCAGATAGCAGCCACGACATTTAAGATAAATCGTAATACGTCGGCTTTGTAAGGTACGACAAAGTTACCACGTAAGTTAGACTAGGTGGTGCATTTAATTTGTAAAAGCATCAAGGAAAAGACTTGTTGAAATAAGGGTTATAATGCAGGCTATCTGGTGAACGGCCATACTTATAAACCCGGATACAAGGGGGGAAAAGGGGGGACAAACAAGGATTTTGAGACGTAATTCAATGTGCATGTTTTGTTTTACAGAGACACGAGATGAGCTGATTGCAGCCTTGAAGAAGAAGCACATGGCCATTCCATGATTTTGAACTCAAAGTTGGAGGTATGTGCGCCTTAGGCTGTTTTATTACCTCATTCTTCGACTCTGTTCAGAACCAGGTGCCTTATGTTGGTCTTTTGTGTCACTCTTTCAAATCGGCTGCAGACTTCACTTCCATCGCCTTTGGAAAAGCGGACACAGAAGCCCAACATATGGCCCCAGTGGGCAGTAACTCTGGGTAAAATTGTTCAGTTATGCTCAGGAATATCTTGCATTTTGTTCGCTCCCATACAAAAATGGTCTATGGTCAGCTATAGAAAATCCTTTGCATGGCCGGCTATAGAAAATTGGCCCAATTAGCAATAGCCGCCTCTATGGCTTTCTATAGCTTTCCTATGGTCTACCGTATGGTTGTCTATAGCTTTTTCAATGGAAATTTGGCTATCGAATTTTGTATGGTTTAATTTATCGGTCTCTTTAGAAGGGATGCTATAGCCGCCTATGGCTTTTCTTTTAGTTCCTTTGGCCGTCTATAGCTTCCTGTAAGGTATTCTATAGAGATCTCTATGGCTTACTTTATGGATCGCTTTAGACACCGTGCTATAGCTGCGTATGGCTTTTCCTGTGGTTTCTTTAGCCGCCTATTGCTCTTTGTATGGCTCGCTATAGCTCATTCTATAGTTCGTCCTATGGTTCTCTCTACCCATCGTCCTACGGCCGCCTATGGCATTTCCTGTGGTTCCTTTAGCCGCCTATAGCTTCTTGTATGGTTTGCTATAGAGATCTCTATGGCTTACTTTATGGATCTTTTTAGACACCGTGCTATAGCTGCTTATGGCTTTTCCTATGGTTTCTTTAGCCGCCTATGGCTCTTTGCATGGTCCGCTATAGCTCATTCTATAGCTCGTCTTATGAGTCTCTTTACCATCGTGCCATAGCTGCCTGTAGTTTTTCTTTTTACCGCAATCGTATGAAATGTGAAACAAATTATTTCTTGTCACTGGACATCTTTAAAAAAACCTTGTGAGACGTGCCGAACTTCATAGCCCCATTTAAAACACAAGCTAACATTTCAACAAAACAACAACAAAAAACAAATGCACTCACTCAGGTGTTTGCAAAAGCACAGGTAAACAGACACAAGGTATTGTTTTCAAATCTCCTAGAAGTTTATTACACACAGCCCATTCTGTAGACAAGCACACACTAAGCAATCTCTACTATGTGAAGAGGTACTACTGAGCTGTTATACAACTGAGAATATTGCAAAGCAAACAAGAACCAAAGGCAATTCCTGGGTAGTGTCTAGTCCCCCGGCAGCCGGCTAAATTCCCCCCGCCCCCCCTTCCCCCCGAAATTCTAATGCCAGTCGCCACTCATTGGCACTGCAATCAGTTTATTAAAAGACGTTTCATCGAGATTGTTTCATCAACACGTGACGTTTATAAACAACTCAAAATATGTTTTTTTTTTTTTTTTTTTGTAATGATTTGCCAAGAAGTGGCGTGAACGGGTGGGTTGAGTCGGTGAGCACGCGCCTCAGGATTACAGGCGCGACGAAATGTCCCTGCAGCGTGCAATTTGCGCAACGAGTGCCGACTAAACGTGTATCCATGAAACGTCTATCCACGAAAAGGTGTCCATGAAACGTCTTTTCACAAAACGCTGGGAGAATAAGAATGTCAGTATTCTAACTACAATTTTCACATGATTTCAGAGAGCTAATGGCAGGCGACTGCGGTAGAATTACGGGGAAATTATTCTCCCAGCTGTCAGAAGATAGGCACTGCCAGAAGATAGACACTACAGAACGGTCAATTGACGCCGAGTAGGTTGCAGCGCACTTACGTTCAAAATACCGGACTTGAAAGATGTAATCCGAAATATACGTCGACACGGGCACTGCAGACCAACCACTCAAACACATAACCGAGAAGGAAGGGATCCGTGAAGGTTCACCACGATGTAGCACAAGCTGTCATTTGCCGAACCGAACACATCACAAGAATGTCTTGGGCTTCTTTGAAGAAATCGCTTGTTGCCGACATACGGGTAGGACTTTTCGATCGGGATACCTCTTACCATAGAAGCGAAATCCACAGCAGCCCCCCGGGCCGCACGACACGCCAAACTAGGTCCGCAAGCAGCCTCATTCCGGGATTGGCAGCGGCTAATGCGTCATCCGTCAAACCACGTGATCACGCTCCTTTTGTTACATGCGCAAAAGAGATCGGAGTGAAGCGATGAAAATTCTCCTGTTGATTGGTCCGCCGAGTCCGCACCTTTTGCAATGCTTTCAGCTTAGGGAGACAGCGAAAACAGAAAAATTGAAAAGCAAAGCTCCTTCAAGGCCAGAACGGGGGTGCGATCACAAAGACTACTCTTAGGGGCATACCAACAATGATCAGAGCGAGAGAATGTGTCACTTATATCCTGTTGACAGTTCGAGCCAACGTTAATAGTGCAGTGGATGCTATGTGTGGCCTTGGGCTTAAGGCAGGTGCCGTGTCCAGCGTTATCACCAGCGGCAGCTTCGAGACAGTTGTCACGGGACCCTAACCGGAGACATGATTGGCCTCAAACACGCATAGCGTCTACTCTGCTGTCACTACCGAGTGAACAGGGCAGCTCCATGAAGGCCCCCCAGCTTGTGGACTTCTTTCTAAAGCTGCACTTCCCAGAAGTGACCCAAAACGAGGCAGGTTTGAAGATATCATATCTTACGCCGTGTAGCCCACATTATAATTTAAAATAATTAATTAATGGCGAATACTTTTTCTTTGGGCAGGATGTCCACAAACAAATAAATAAATGAATATATATATATATATATATATATATATATATATATATATTTTTTTTTTTTTTTACCAAGCACTTTTGAATTATGTGTACACTGTAAGGTTCGCATTTTTAAACTTCAATTTTGGGAATCTTTGCATCGTTGTGGCATCTATGATTGCGTGGTTTAAGAAATTTGTGCCGTAATACGTTTTTCATCCGTGAGTTCAGTCTATATCACTGCCATCAATTACAATCTCTGAGCACCATGATGACACAGGGTGGGGATGTGTGCTCCAAGAAGCTCCAATGACTTTAATGTCTCATGATTTAAAGAAAAAGAAGAAAAATTAGCCACAGCGCTTGCTGATTTGTTGAATTCGCCGAACAGAGATAATAGGACGCACCTAGAGTAGCGCGTGCCTAATGATATTAATTTTTTTTCGGCTGTTATTTGTGTATATTTCGCCGTTCTCGACATGGGCGTTGACGGAGATTGCACCGCTGCTTACGCCCCTGCCGGGGTAAGCTTTTTTGTTGTCACGACAATCTATCGCGCTACACACGGGTCGATTTAACGCTCATGAAGTCTCGACAGAACTGTCAATTGTTTAGTCAGAGCAACGACGCAGCAATCGCGAAGTGAGAGACGACTGCGCCTCACTCTGATAAAATGTGAGCGTGGGACTCCCGAGCAGATGATGCAGGACGCTGCTTTGTCGTTGAGAATCTCTGTCCTGCGAACGCCGGCGAAAACGGTCCAGTGCTTGGCGTATACCCTAGGCAGCAGCGCCTGTCAGCGACCACCCGGAGCCTACTGGCAGTCTGCGAGCGCCGACGATTTATCGTCGCGACTTGAATGGGAGCATTTTATGAACTCCTGCGGCGAACATGAAACACCGCGAACATGAACTTCCGCGAACATAATCACCGCGACGGCGAACCGCCGGGGCTCGCAGACGGAGGGTTCCGATGCAGTGTGCGAACGGTTGTTGGAGGACGCTGCGTAGGGTATACGCCGGGCGCTGGAACGGCTTCGCAGCCATTCGAAGGGCAAAGGATTCGCGACGATCAAGTAGTGTCTTGCATCTTCAGTAAGCTAACGCTGCTCTAGAGTCCCAAGCTTACATATCCACAACGCGAGCGCGGCCGGCCAGATCGAGGCGCAGTCAGCACTCGTGTCGCGATTGCTACGTCGTTGCTCTACCTACACCGATGACATGTGCACCGGCATTCGAAACCGCACTCTCGAGACTTTATACGAGTCCAATAGACGGCTTTATAGCGCGATAAACCGTCGTGACAAGAGTAAATCTCACCTCTGTAGTGGCGTAAGCAGCGTTCTTGACGCCGCGTCGAGAACGACAAAATATACACAAAAAAACATTAAATATATTTAACACAGCAGCCAGAAAGAAATACAAACATGGCAGGGACACGGACAAAGTAGAAGGCGCGCTACGAAATACATATACTTACAAAATACACTGGAAACGACAGATAATTAAAGCTAAAAAACGGAAGATTGAGATGACGTCAACGCGGAAATAAGGCAATGCGCAGGGAAAGCAGCCGGCAAAACTGCAATTGTCCTATAGGCAGCTAAGGACGCTTTTGTGATCCCGGGCGAATAGCCGCGGCGACGTACGTTCCGTTAACCTGGCTGAAGAAAATTCTCGCCCCGATCGAGCGCATGAATGACTCTTCCACTTTCGTACATCTGCATTAAAAAAAAAAAAAAAAAAAAGGGGTCGTGGGCTTATAGTTTAAGCAAACCATTAAGCCGACTAAAAAATTCGGGTGGTCGTGAGTCTATAGCTCGGGAGACATACCGCCCTCTATAGACGGCTAAAGCACATTGTAAGGTCGGAGGCTATAGCTTTGTTGACATAGAACGCTATTGAGTCGGCTAAAGAAAATTCGATGGTCGCGATTCTATAGATTTAGGGACATACACCGCTCTATAGTCGGCTGAAGCACATTGAATGGTCGGAGGCCTATAGCATCTGTGACATAAAACACTATAGAGACGGCTAAAAAAAGTTCGATGGTCGCGAGTCTATAGACTTAGGGACATACACAACTCTACAGCCGGCTAAAGAGCATTGAAAGGTCAGGGGCCTATAGCTTTGGTGACATAAAATGCTATAGAGTCGGCTAAAGAAAATTCAATGGTCGCGATTCTATAGATTTAGGGACATACACCACTCTATAGCCGGCTAAAGCACATTCAATAGTCGCGAATCTATAGCATCAAGGACATACATATTTCTATAGCTCGCTAACGAATATTGAATAGTCGCGAGTCTATAGCTGTGTAGTCATAAATTATTTTATAGCCAGGTATAGAAATCGGAATGGTCGAGAATCTAAAGCTTTGAAGACATACATTTTTCTATAGGTGGCTATAGCGTGTTTTATGGTTTCTTATGGCTGACCATAGAGGGCCATAGAAGGTGATAGCTCACCATAGGATTTTCCATAGACGTCCATAGACCATTTTTGTATGGGCTTCATGAGTAATTCTGTCCATTCATTATGCTATTCCGATACACAAATCAGGAGGGTAGATACGCTCTATGAAAGCAGACCGCAAGACGCACTTCAACACGTAAAGAGCCGCAGCTTGGCCACTCCTGGTCTTGATTGTGCAATAGCCGAAATTGTCCCTTTTCAATTTCAAAACACATACTCTCCTGCTTCGTGTCTCAATCGCATTGTATCTGAAGTTGACCCTCTTCGGCTTTACGAGATGACCTCGTCTGCTCTAAGTCTCAATCTCGCTGTACTCGATGGTGCATCTCTTCTTCAGTATCCCAAGACGTCCTCGTTTGTTTGGCGTCCTGCTTGCACTGCAGCCAAAGTGTCCTCTCTTGAACCGTTTCATCTACTTCAATGGTCTTCTTGTTGCTACTTGCCTGTCTAGCTTTCAACAAACATATTTCCGAAGTATCCTAGGCAATTCGCTGTCGCTGTGCCTCAGCACACTTGCATAGACGTTCCGCTGGCGAGACCTGCTTCCGCTTATTGACAGCGATAGATGATGCTCAAGTTGGGGTCGCACAGCTTTCCTCAGCTGTGGCTATGTGCGACTGCGACCAGATGTTACACACATTGCCATTCATATGGCAACATTGGCGTTGAAGCACTGGCACGTGCATAAACGCAGCTCTTGCCTGCACTCAGTAACTCTTTCGCAAATGCTTACCCATGTGTGGTCGTGAACCGGATACGATTCCCGGCTTTCGATACCAACAGTTGTGGGTTTGAAACACAGTGCCGGCGTCACGCTTTTTTTTTCTGAAATATAATGTGCCGGCGCATGCTCGTTTCAAAAGCAGTTACAAATCCAGCGACTAGCGGACGCCTAAAGTGCGTAGGGTTTGCTTATAAATGCTATCGTATTTAGAAGTACTTGATTGCAAGTACAAAGTAACTGAGAGGTTATGTACAGTCGGGAGCAAAAGTTTGCGGGGCACGGAGCGCCAGCCGAAAAGACTGGCTGTGCCTTCTCACCGCGCATTGCCACTCTCAGGACTCGCGCTTTGCGCATGCGCTTTCTTTCTTGTTCGTGGCCATGATTTGTTTCGCTCGCTTCCGTTCGACACTGACGAGATAGCAGGGACTGGCGCAAGGTGCCGCGAGATGTAATCTGTAGCATGCGGGAGCTCCGTCACCCATCACGGTGGCTGAGGCAGACGCGCGGCATGATGGCTATCATAGCGGAATCTTGCGGCGGTCCCGGTGATCTCGTGCACTTCAGGCGGAAGCGAGCAAAACATACATGACTTTGAGCACGAAAGGAAGCACATTCTCGAAGTGTGAATCTTGAGAGCGGCCCCACGCCGTGTGAAGGCACAACCAGTCATTTGGGCTGACGCTCCCGCTCCCCGCAAACTTTTACCGGCGACTGTACTTCAACTTAGGTACACTGGGTGCAAAGTAGTATATTCGTAATTTGCTTTCTAACCCACCTAGGAGTATTCTTTCTACAGAATATTTCATCATACTGTTTTGTTTACCTATACAGCGTTTTCTGTTAACTGGCACAGGTAGCGCAAGGGGTACCGAGTGTGTAAAAGACGATACAGCAATAGACCATATGCAAAATGTAGAGCGTCGAGAACTATGTCTGCGATCTTGCTAGCGGCGAGAAAACAAGACTGGTGACCCGACGGGCAAAGACCTTGTGTAAACAAGCGACCGCGCTTCGTGCGAGAGATGCGATGCCAACGCGTTGCTGCGTTCCGTAGGGATAAACCTTCAATTATGTAAACAGGGTTCACTTTCTTTTTTTTAAATTTGTTATTTGAGATTTTTGACCGAAACAATCGATGATAACACGAAGTAATGTGGACGTTATCGCGCAGCGTGAAGCCATTTACAACCATTGAACTGGGCCCTAATTCTTTCACGAAGTTGTACCCAATTTGTTTCTGAACTTTTTTATTTTTATTTTATGGGCGTTGTAGTTTCGGACTGCGTTCTTCTTGATGCGGAAGCAGTTCAATGTATGGGGACGAGACCAAGGCTGTTAAGCGAGGCAAAAAAATCTCATTGCGTTGCGGCTATTTCTATACATCTGATGTGGCGTTGGTAAACGAGGTTTGTGAAACATTTCTAAAACAGGAGAGTTTGTTGATCTAATGTACTTGAATAATTCAAGTGCGGTCTTGTAGGATAAAAAGCACAGCAGACACGGACGATGTGAACAGACACGAATGATGTGTCTGTTTGCTCGACACTCAGAGATAGGATTTTGATATTTTTTGTCGGACGCCACTTCGACAAAACTTTGATGTCAGCGGCGGTGAAAACTTGCGTTGCGGACGTCGAATGGAGCAACAGGAGCAGTGCCCACTTGATTTCACAGTCTCTTTTTCTTTCTTTCGTCCTTTTTTTTTTTGTCACAGTTGAGGTAAAGTTTTTGTTTAGTGAAAAGAAGCTCGGGGGCGGGGGGTAGTTCTGATAAAGTCAATGCAGTTATTCTGCCAGGGTTGTACAAATCTTCCTTAATAGTGCAACATCAATCAAGTGTGCTTGAGGTCAATGCTATCTGAAACCGATGTGAGATCTTTGCAGCGCCTGAAAAATATTTCCCAGGGCAGTTTCCTTTAAAGAAACAGTTTCCCACAAAAAAACTTTTGCCATTAAAAAAAAACAAAAAAACAAATCTTGATTTGCATGTATTGGCGTAGAGCAGTCTACCGCTGAACAGCACGACTTCATGCATATTCGCATCGAAAAAATACTTAAGTGTCCTCAGAGTTGAAAGGCAAGACGGCCTAGTCCTTTGTCCACGTTGGGTGATCGGAAGTAAGAGAACAATAAAGTTTCCGGATGGCACTTAGTGGCAGAGCATCCATGTTAATGGAGCTTTGAGAGTTTGTTTCTTGTTGCTGATGACCCCGTTTTGCTCCGCAGCACTCTTGCGTTGACCAAAAAATACTTTTCGGAAGTTCGTCAAACAATCATGTCCACACCAAGACACCATTGTCCGTGCACATAGATGAGGCCTTGAAGTGTAAAAAGTTTGTGCAGTCAGTGGCAACATTGTAACTATGCACTTTCCAATGAGCCCGGCCAGAGCCCATCTTTTCGTCATTGGGGAGGAAGGAGTTATTTTTGTTGAGGAGGAGGGAGTGAAGAAGCTGGTCGTAGGCATTACCACATCACCGAGGCTGAACTTTAATCGGGCGGCAGATTGTGCAAATCGAAGCAACTGTGCAACTGGTCAAAAGGTGACCAGACGGTCTGCTACAGCATTGGATTTCGTCCGAAAGATTCAGCTTACATCTCGCAAACCGTTGGAAATACTTGTCATAAATATTCCTTAGCTATTCACTGGTATTTCTTTGTAAACAAGCTCACTGCAGGCCAACTTTAGCGCATTTCCGTTTTTTCTCTTCCTTTTTTTTTTGTGTCCTGTTTGCACTAATTGCAGGTTCTTAGAGACGTATTGGAATACTTATTTTTTTCTTTGAAACGCCTTTTCTTGTCCCGGTGTGTTACGGGAAAAATGAAGCCCTCATGCCATCAACGCACCAGGAAAGTGTTGAAGTCCGAATAATCAAGCATGTCTGAATTTTCGGCATCCGAAAAATCGGTCGGCTACGGTACCGTGTTTAGCCCATTTGCGGAGCTTTGGCTTGCTGGAGAGCTGGTCTTTCTAAACAGCGTTTTATTATGTTGCAGGGGACAATGTCCCACCTGGCGTTGTTGGGCCAGCTCCTCCAGCTTGCCCAGCAGCAGTTCCGGCATCTGGTGCTCCTGCTTCAGTTGACGTGCGAGCTGGTGTGGCTCGCGCTCCACTCGTACCGGCCGCTGATGCTGCTGCTCCAGCAGCGGACCTTGTGGCAGGCCCACCGGAGGCACCTCCCGAGTGTGTGCTAGTGCTTGGAGAGGTCGATGGCGAGGTAAGTTCAGAATTTCATGGAATATTCATTTCACGTATTGGGCAAGTTACTGAATTTGATGTTTTCCTCAGCTCCTTGAATATGGTTATTTGTGTGATTCCTTAATGTGAGCAATCGTCCTGCCTCAAAATGCTGATGAACGTAAAAAGTAGGGGCAGGCATCGATAAGATAGTTCTTCCCAATTAATTGGCCTTTCCTGTTACGTTTTCTATCTAGTGTCCTCATTTTACTTTGACGGTGTGTTTAGCGACCGGGAAAACCGGGAATTGTCAGGAAAATTTTAATTACCGGGAAAAATCAGAGAATTGTCAGAGATATTGTCAAAAAGCGAGCCCAGTCGGAGAAAATTAGCCGGAAATGCCATAAAGTGCCCTGAGCAAAGACTTGAGGTTTTGGGGGCAGAAAAATAGGCAATAAATTTTTCTTAGAGCGGTGCGCGGGCTCTGCTCACCCAATGTAGAGTGTGCTGCCCGATGCAAAGAACAACCGACAAATCCGATCCAAGCCTTGGATTGGATTGAGCGCGCGACAGTAGGCTAAATCCAGTTAGAGAGCTACTAAATTCAGTAACAAATGGGAAAGTCGCAGACCCCAATCCAATCCAAGCCGAAAGTATCCGAAAGTGCATCTGGCGGTCATGTTGCCATTTGGTTTTTGACGAGTGTGGTTGAGCGTAGTGCTTTTATTGTGTTTCCGGAAATGGCCTCTTCACTGGCGATGTTGGTGGCATGAAAGTGCTCGTTTAATCCGGACTGGACGAACCCGAACATTTCGAAACATGCGAGTTAGATTAGGCTTATGCAAAATTATCCTCACTGTGCTCAATGCTCAATGCCTTGTGTTGTAATGGTCTTATATATTTAACTGCCTATAGAGTGGTCAGGGAATTTCACCTGAAATGGTCAGGGAAAACCTGGAAAAGGGGAATTTCAAAAGAATAATTTGCTAGACACCCTGTTTTGAGCTTTTTCATAAATCTGGTACCATGTAGCCCGTTTTAAAATTCTGTTATAATTGGTGCCTTTCAGACAATTGGTGAATCTCTGAATTGCTTTAATTGGTTCTTCATGTATACAATTTGAGAAAGATCAAAACTATGCACTTAACAATGTACAGTTGCAATGGGAGATAATAGCTCCGCATGAGTTCATATTTTGTTTCCTTAATGACACTTGACTGGCAGTTTGCAATAGAACTGTAGTCATTAACAGGGCGAGAATACAGGACTGAAAGCACTGAGGGAATATGCCCCACCCTAAACTGTGCCTTCTTTTAGCACAGGCAAAGTTGATGAGAAGAGGAGGAAACCTGGAGGTTTCCCATCTCCTGTTTTGTTTCACCCTAAAGGGAAGTGGTCAGAGTGAGCTAGAGCCACTCTACGTTCCCTGAGTATCGAAACTCCCAAGCTTCGTTTCAGAACCGCGTTCTGGCACAGTAATTACACACAAACATTAGCGTAAACATGGCTCCCTGTCCTTTCAAAGCCAAGCTTGTACCATGGAGCATCTGTATTTGAGCGAGTTCTTCAATGCGCTATCTGGCCCTGCAATGGCACTGATTTGTTTTTATTACTGTTCTTTCCTCTTTTTGTTCGCTCTCTTTACTCTGAACTCACTTAAAAGTAAGGTAAAGTGGTTCTGTATGTGACAAAAGAAACACACAAATCATCTATCTGCATTTGGCCTCCAGAATAATAGATGTCAAAATTATTTTTTTTTAATTTGGTGCACGGAGTCTCTAGAAAATTGTTTTCAAAATAGCGTTGAAACATCTTTTTTTCCGGAGCGTGACATCGTACCCAGAGTTCTCAGAATTCCCACTCTCGCACCCCTTTGCACCCATCAAAGCTATGCACACACACTCTTTATATTTTCAAAATGGTCAGAAAAAGATGTCACAACTGGTCTTACATGCGGGGGAATATACCTGGCAAGCTTGTATCTGTATATGCTACCCATATAAACGCACCTTAAGAAAAAAAAAAAAAAAAAAAAAAACAAGCACACGCGTGGATTTATGAGCTCCCTAACGATAAGATATCATAAAAATTATCTCACTCTAAAAAAAAGAAAAAAAGAGAAAGCTTTTTCTTAAGGATGAACCTTCATCTAGGCTTATATTTGGTAAAACCATAAAATTGCATTGTGGCTTTTATTGTGCTTGAAAATTACATGGGGTGCAAAGGAAATGCAATAAATGTGTTGCTCTTTTCCCAAGCGCCCCGGCCCGCACGCGGGGAATCGTGGGAGAGACTGTCCCTTGTTTGGCCGCTCTGCCTTGAAATCGCATAGCCTTGTCGCTTGCCTCCTCTTAATCCTCTGTTTTTCTATTTCATTAAATATTTTTATCGGTTGAAGTGTATTTCCTACCCTACTGAAAAAAAAACATTTGAAATTCAAACGGGTGGCAAACTGGTAAATCAAACGGGTGCAAACTTGTCGACCCGTTTGGATCAAACGTGATTATGGGATACGGGTAGCCGTTTGAAACAGTACCCGCTCGAAACGGTACCGATTTGAAACGGGTGCCCGTTTGATACAGGTGCCCGTTCGACCTTGCACGTGACCACACGTTTGAACGTGCCTTTCGAATCGGGAAATTATGCGCTAGCCCTAAACGGGGATCGTCTAGTAGGTTGGCTATGTTAAACTTATTTAAGACTTTCCGAAACTCATAAACCTATTTATAACATGTAGAACAAATGAAACACGTAGAACAAATGTGCTCACGTAGGTGCTTGCAAATGGACAGGAAAACAGACACAAAAGATTGTTTTCAATTCTCCTCAAAGTTTATTACGTCTTCTGTAGACAAGTACAAACGTGCAAGCGATCTGTGAAATGTGAGAGGCACTCTAAGCTTTTATACAACTGAGAAGATAGCAAACCAAACAAGAACCGAGGTAATTCTAGACTATGAAAGTAGACTTTCCGGAAATTATTCGCCCGGCTGCCGCGAGAATAGCGGCTGCATAATTATATAGATAATCTGGAAGAGTACGAGCAGAAGAACGGTCAATCGTTGCCAAGAAGTAAGGTTGCAGTGCACTTACCATAAAAATAGCGGACTTGAAAGATGTAATCCGCGATATTTGTCGACACGGTCAAAGCAGGACAACCACACAAACACAAATGAGAGGGAACGGCTTCTTGGAAGTTTCTACACGTTGTGGCTCACAAGCTGTCAGTTGCCGAACCCAACCAAACCGCAAGAATTCCTCACTTCTTTGAAGAATCGCTTGTTGCCGATATAGGCGTAGGACTTTTCGAACACTGATAGCTTTCGTGCACATCCAATACGTTGTCGAGAGACATTCTAATAAGACCGCGGGGTTAGGCGACAGACCGAAGCAGGTGGACGCGCGAAGGTCGAGCTAGAACTGACAACAAGCAGACAAAAAAAAAAAAAAAAAATAAGCGGCTGCTAGGCGCACCTTTCCGGATCTCGATGCTTACCAGCGTGTAGCTCGCGCGCAGCTGCAGGTCACGTGACGGGTGACAAAAGAAGAGGTAAAGGGCGAGGACCACAGGGACGGCCCCTCTCCCTCTCCCCAGGCATTCCAGTGAGATGTGTTTTTGTAACCTCGAAAAAAAAGAAAAACACGCGCGCGCGCATTTTAGCACGCTTGAATCTTGGAAATGGCGGCGGGGCGGCCCGAAGCCCGGCTTGCGCCCGAGCGAAGATAGTACTCAGCGCGAGCTCGTAGTTTGACTGCTGCAACGGCGGGCGTGCTCTCGCAATGCTCGATGTTCTTGCAGCCGCGTGTACGCGTTATACCTTCGCTGCGTCTTGAATTAAAGTTAAACGGAGTCTAGACGTACATTCTTTTACGCGGTCGCGTCTTCTGCGAGAGAGATTCGAGCTGAATAAGTAAATTGAGGCAACAAAGATGGACAAAGTTTTAAAGTTCTGTCGAAAATATCGGCTCACCGACGTCGCGCGTTTACGTAAAACAACAACAAAAAAGGTGTTAGTTTTAGTTGCAGTATAAGCGAACATCAGCGCAATTGAAATATAAATATAGTTACTTGCATTACGCGGACGATCTGAAATCGATGAACCGGCGCTCCCAGCCTTCCGGAAACATTAGCTGCCACGGATGAAACGCTAGGCGCGCCCACGCCGCCGATCTGTACGTTCAGTATCAAACGGGCTCCTGAGAGCCGTTTGATTAAACCGGTACAGTTTGGAACATGGTCACCGGTTTGAGCAAACGTGCGACAACTTTGCCCAAACGAGTCGCCCATTTGCCCAGACGAGCGACCCATTTGCCCAACGAGCGACCCGTTTGACAAAGGAGGGACCTCTTTGTCCAAATAGGTGAGCGTTATGGCTCATACGGGAGACCCCTTTGAGCCATACGGGCGACCCCTTTGACAAACTGGTGACCGGTATGGTTAAACTGTTACCGGTATGGACCCGTTTATTTTCATATAGGCGCCAAATGGTTTTTTTCAGTAGGGTATTGCTTAAAAAATGTATATATTCTCTTCTGCGCGCGATATATATATATATATATATATATATATAGTATTTGTGTCTTTATTTTGCCTTTTTCGACGGGAGTGCCGACGGAAAACACGGCGCTTCGCGCGTCGTTCCCCAGGTGAGTACTACCGTTGCTGCCGATTCCTATCGCGCTGTTAGCTGTTCATTTTGGTTCAATTTGACCCGCGTGCAGTAGAGAGGAGCCGTTTATGGCTCCTCTCTACGACGTGCTGTATGTTGGTCAAATAAGCGGCACTCGAAGGCATACGCTACAGTACGAGTCAACGGAGCGAGCGCGGGCGGCCAAATCACAGCGCAGTCGGCTCTCGCGTTGCAATTGTTGATTCAGAGCTCTGCCTACCCCTATGGTATGTGCGCGGGTGTTCATAAACGGCTCCCCTCGACTGCACGCGGGTCAATTGAACCAAAATGAACAGCTAACGGCACGATAGGAATCGGCAGCAACGGTAGTACTCGCCCGGGGAACGACGCTCGAAGCGGCGTGTTGTCCGTCGGCACTCCCGTCGAAAAAGGCAAAATAAAAACGCAAATACTACATATATACAAGAAATATCGCGCGCAGAAGAGAATAGAAACACTTAGAAGCAATAAAAAATACACTGGTACGGATAGAAATAGGTAATTGATTCGAAAAACAGAGGATTAAGAGGAGGCAAGCAACAAGGCAATGCGATCTAAAGGCAGAGCGGCCCGGCGAGGGACAGCCTCTTCCACAATTCCTCGAGCGCCGGCCGGGGCGCTTGGGGGATTTCGCAAAAGGGCTATTGGACAGGACGAGCCTGTTGATAACAAGAATCAAACTTGAGGAGGAGAATCGAAAAAGACTGACAATCGCACACCCCCAAGAAGTTGTTTGTCCGCCCTTTTTGTTTTCCTTCCTATGGTTGAAATTAAATTGTCTTACATTTTCTCCCTTTCCCTATCGTCAGGGGTATCACCCCTAACGATAGGCAGGGGTGAGACCCCTGACGATTGTGAGACACCTTCTCACTTAAGGGGCCAGATTAGCAATCTGTCGGAGTCGCTACGGCCAGAAAAATATACTAATTACTATAGAAGAAAATTTAGATAAATAAACCTAGATAAATATTTTAACACAGAATTTAATGTCAGAGTAAGTGTTAAAACACTCTAAGTTTGTTGAGTTTGTATACATCAAATTATCATTTAATATTTAGCTAATTATGCCATTACACAACAGTTGTGACCATGAAAACTCGCCTGGCATAAATCAAGGTGCATGGGAACTATGGCAGATTCAGGCACTGCAAGAGATTAAGGAGAATGATAAAACTAATGCTGAGAATATGCAATAGTTGTGACAGAGGACGCTAAGCCCAATGTCTATTGGAATGCAGTGCAATTTTAACATAGTTGCCCAGACAGGATGCGCGGGCTAAAAAGGGTAATGCTAGTGATGACAATGTTAAATTATCATATGGTCAGGGGACCCTTGTTGCAATGCAATTTCTTTCGTTCTTTCTGGTATCTTAGTTTGTGCATTTAGAGTGTGTCGCACCATCATTTCTTTACGCGCACTTGTTTCTGTGCCGCTAGCAGCGGGTTTGCTGAAAGCGGGCCGCAAGCCCGGCTTTAGTTAAAAAACCGCGGCCAGCCGCGGGCCAGTCGGAAGACATCCGCGGTCCGTATACTGGTTTGGAGACCACTGGTCTATGTCGTAAAGTGTTTGCATCCACACTATAGGAAAACCGTGATACGATTCACTGCAATCAATCTGTTAGAAAACTGATTTATCCAGTCTCTCCATTCAAAGGGCCATCATAGCATCAGATTTATGTGGTAAATGCTATTTAACCTATTCATGGGTATATTTCTAGGTTCACCTTAGCCATTGTGTTCTAGTGCAAAAGAAGGAGCTGTCATCATGGGAGCCCGGGGGAATTCCATGTTCATCAGAGAGGCGACCGAGCTGGTCTTCGGCCGGGAGAACCTGAACGGCCGAAGTATGACTGGGGTGCCATGCCGGCGCTTTAAGGGCGCCGTGGCACAGAGGGCGCTGACTCCAGCCAAGTTGGCAGCAGCCCGGAGTAAGTGCCCACTTCTCACAGATGTCTCATACTTGTTAAGACAATCGAGCCTGATGGCTTCCCAAGTTGCAATCTAATAAGACAAAATTAATGGGATAAAATATTAAAAGGCTTTCAGAGGTTTCAGTGTTATAGGCTGTTGAAGGGTCATAGTTCGACTAGCTCTAGCTTTAGGAACGTGAAGCTCCGAACGCAAACTGATATAAAGAGGCCCTATCTCCCGCATTGTTTTTAATATATGAAGAAAAATAGAGTGATCTTGTCACGGTCATCTAGGTCGTTTGGTGGTTTCTGATGTATTCACAGTGTGGAGGTTTTATAGTAACATGCTTTAGGTCGGAAAAATCTGCTAATCCCCCCAAGTTTTGGGGGACGTTCATGATATCAGAGGCCCGCTCGCAGGACCTTCTGCTGGCTCGTGGAGTAACTGTGGGCCCCTCTTATCTTTTTTAGAAAACTCTACTGCGAGGCACCTATTCTTTATTTTGTAACGAACAACTGCCACTAGCAAAGTTATGAAAGTCAGTCTGTTTGTTCACCACTAGAACTGCTGCAACCCAACTATGTTTGGCTCAGCCCTTTTTTGTACTATCCATATTTTCTGAACCGCCTTCTCGCCGTGGGTGTTCATCCTTTCTAGGCTATGACAGGCTCAGTTTTCTTACACAAGAAGTATCTCGTATGAATGGACCATTGAAGGTCATGACATAAATATTAAATTAGTTAGACGGTTCTTGACGTGAAATTTGTGTTGGAAACTCATATACATGCCCAGAAAACAATTGCGGCTCAATCTTTTTTCTGCACAAAAAACGCCGGCCGAGAATTGTGTGTTCAGTGTTGCTTTCACTCGTTTCCATGTTGACATTGTGGGGCATAAAACATGTTCGAGGTTCTAGGCAATCGGAGGCACATGTTCATAATTGAAAATGGATATTTGGTTTTATAGAACATACTTTTATTATAGTTAACAGGCAGGCAAGATGGTTAACGATAGACGTGGTAACCCGGGAGCGTGGGGACAAAAAGGGACAGACAGACCCAAAGCTCTGGAGCCTTGTGTGTTTCCGTTCCGTTTTGTCCTCCCGCTCCAGGGTCTATAATTTTTATGAGCACTGAAATGCAAGGAACACACTGTTGCAAGCAAACTATAAGTGCATAGCTGTGGAAAGTCACGCCAGGTCTGCTTGATGAGCCTGAACCGGCCGATCTAGTTCAGATAGTGCAACAACTGATGCATTCGATTCAACCGGAAGTTGCATGGACGCTGAACTGGCCTGTTCGATTTATCCCACTGCTGCACGAGTTCAGCATCAGTTCCGCAGAATCTTGCGCTAGTCGAAGTTAGTTCAGCGTTCCTGCAGTAACAGACAACACCTCGTCGGTCTTTCGGAAGTCAATTACGGCGTCGTTTGTAACGTTGCGGCTTAACTTTGCGTAGCCGCAGCCCGACTTGCGCACTGCCGCTGCACTCCTTCGAACTCCACTCGGTCTGAACTGGTTCAAAACTTCCTGGCCAGAATGTACATACCTGTTGTTTTAAGCAGACTGCCTAATCGCAATAAGTTGCTCTTGGGGGTTACATGGTATCCCAAGATATTAACAAAGAATAAATTGCAGTGAAAATTGCGTCAATTATAATTGCAGGAAGTAAAATATTTCATTTTTCAATAAACTGTAGATATACATGACTTATTGTTGTATTCTTTTCCCTTGCAGATGCCTTCAACAAGTACATTCGGAAGCATCCTCGAGAGGCCTCTCCAAAGAAGAGGACAGCTCAGATTAACCACTATGTGCCGAGCTGCTGCAGGATATTAACAAGAAGCTTGACTTCTAAGCTTGTTTAGAGGTTAAGCATCTTGTTGATGTTCTGCAGAAAGCCAGTTCGCTTTCATCTTGACTCACAGTGCGACTGGGACAAGGACAGGCAGAGGAGAAAACACAGGACAAGCGCTGAACTAGCAACTGATTCTATTGCAAAGAAAATATGTATGATGCAGCTGCTGCTCGTGTAGGCACGCCCCTCCGTGGCCCTGGCACTTTTTCTTTCACTTAACACGAAACCGGCCGAGTTATTTGAGATTCAAAAAGCCGATCTCACTGCTCATCCAAGTCGCTGTGGGCTGGCTCACACACAAGAGTCCGTTTTGTGTTATGCGGTACGTGAGATCGGCTTTTTGGATCTCGGATAACTCGGCCGGTTTCGTGTTGAAAGAAGAAGCGCCAGGGCCACGGAGGGGCATGCCTGCACGGGCAGCAGCAGCATCATATGTATATTCTTTTCAATAGAATCAGTTGCTAGCTCAGCACTTGTACTGTATTATCTCTTCTGCCTGTCCTTGTCCCAGTCGCGCTGTAGGTCATGATGAACGCTTGTCAACTCGCCAAATTGTCCATTTTGCAATTTGATTTCCTTGAATACAGATATAACCTGAAATTACCTGGCTCAAGCTCATTCTTTTCATGACGAATGCTTGTAAATTGTTAAACCTGCATATATCCATACGTCAATATGCAAACAATTAACACCATGTTGATTCCTGTTACTGCATCCGAACGAGTAAACCTATAAAGGTATGGGTTTCTTTATCTAAACAGGCGAATCTGTATAAATATTGGTTCTTATACCTAAACGGGTCAACCCGCACAGGTTCAGGTTCCTGTATCTGAACGGGTCAACCCATACACGTACGAGTTCCTGTATCTGAATGGGTCAACCCATACAGGTACGGGTTTCCATTAGCATACGGCAGACCCGTATCCCATACCACCGTATGATTTATACGGGTCAACCAGTATAAATTTTTATAGAGGTTTTTTTCAGTAGAGAACATATATTTGCCAAGATCTGCAGGGAGCCGAATATGGAGAGTAATACCGTATCTACGCACTATATTATTTAAATTATGCGATACCATGTGCATATAGGCCAACTTGCACTCATTTGTTTTGTTGATCTGTTCTAGAGTACGTTGTTTTTAATCTGTGATCCTTTAGGTTTCTGTAATAGGCTTTCGTAAACGCTTAATAGTAGCATGTTGGTGTACCACGCAGTTTTTAACTTGCTAGACTGCTGATCGAAGGCGGCTGACATTTTGTGCTCGCAACTTTTGTGGGGGCCGCCTGTAAGCAATTTGTAGCTATTCCTCTTTTTATAAGCTTGGACTGGGCACTTTCGAATGACAAGAGACTTCTTTTGGATCGCGGGTTGTACGTCCAGCACAAGTGTTGTCTCCAGAAATCAGGCTGCAAATCCAAAAACTGAATGTAATTCGGGTTTGCCATTTCGCAAGTGAACTTTAAATCTCCCGAGTGAACATGAAATATACTGATAATTTCTGAAAAGCATCAATTTCATTTATCCCAGTCATATCTCCTAAAACAACTAAAAAATCATGAACGCATCGGTCAACCTTAAGCACATGTGCGCCTTCACAATACTCCTAGGTATACGCTCATCCATTTCGCTCAGATAGATATCACACAACACTGAGGCGGCAGAAGACCCAATACATACACCATTTTTTGTATAAAGAACTCGTCATTAAGGCTGACAGCTGTCGACTTAACATAGAATTCCAGGAGAATTCCAGGAGGCTTAGAAAGTTCTCACAGTTAAGGCCAGCCGAATTTCAGAACTTGGTTCGTCCGGAATCCTCAATTTTGTCCCGCGTCACATTCTGCGTAACCATTGCCTCCAAAGTTTCCATTTTTATTCCCTGGGAACTTTATCAAAATGCACACAGGTTGTCGGGTTCCCTGTCCTCGGTGCACAACGGCCGGTCATAGCAGGCCGCAATGCAGCTCGCAGCTGGCTTTGTCCGGGAATCCGTTCACGAGGCAGATGCCCGTCCAGGGAAGGCAGCGGTCTTCCTCGCCGTCGTAATACACAGGAAGCCTGCGGTCCTGGCGACGGCAGTCGTGCAGCGGCGCCCCCGTGCGACACCTTCCATCTCGCGCTGACGTTGTGGCTACTTGGGGTGGAGCCCATGTCGAACCTACAGATTGACAAACGCATTTGTTTCGTTCGTTTAGAAGTTGGTTCACAAACGGTTTTTTGATGCCTTACACCAAGAACCACACTAGATCACTAGCGCTGCCTGTGAAGTGACCTAGGAACTGCATTGCACTAGAGCCAAGGTTTTGCAATATTTCCGAGATAAAATGTTGGCGCTACAAATAAAAAGGCGACATATTTAACATTGCCAAAAGTTTTCCAATACAATAAAAAAAGAACGATGCACGCACAAATTCTAATTCCTTTAAGCTCTCGATAAAGGTGTGTCACAGCTAAAGCAGCTCTGCGCTCGCATAATTTGCTATAATCGTGACGCCGTCGTACTGTCGGTGTCTGCTCCTGAGCATGATTCTAAGGCGTTTCACGCCATTTTCGCTTATGCTATCGATTCCGCTCCCGTGACTGATTGCTACCTTCTCTACGTCTAGCCTCACTGGCGCTCCATACCTCAAATTCGGGTTATTCGGACGTAGCAGGACCGAATAACATGAATTTGAGGTACGACGTGTTGAGGAGGATCGTCGTTGAGGGAGTACCAATCATTCACAAGAATGAAATCGTCCTCAGAAAGTCCGTACGGACTTTCCGAGCTCTAGTTATGCGGCTTTCAAGTTCGTCTCCTTGGATGGTTCTGCGCACGCGACGGCACAATGACGCGTCCACAACAACCACTGTAGAAGTGAGAGCAACACGGCTTCTCTTTCGAGCAGCTGAGGGGATCTGGTAGTGTATGCGGGCACCCCTCCCGGCAGATAAAGTCCCTGCAAGATTGCATTTTGATAACGTTAACACTTTACGGATACAATTTACCTTCAGAAAACTCCACATCCCCCATTCTCTGCTACGTGCCAAGTAGCACAAGATGTGGGGTCCACTTGTAGAATGGGGACTAGGGCATCCTTTACAAAACCAACGTTGGTCCCACGTGGGCCAAGCGTGGACATGCCCAATATGTGTTGCCCACGGAGCACCGCGGTGGGCCCACATCGAATATGCGAGGACACAATTAGTCACAGTGTCGGCATACCCAATTCGGGCTGCCCATGCAATGCCTCTGTGGGTCCTACCTCAGCTACGTGAGGGCATGGCCAGTTTGGGCTGCCCGTGCAATGCCGCCGTGCGTCCTAATTCGGCTATACGTGGATAGAGTTAGCGCAGATGTAGACTTCCTGTAGCCGTAGAATGGGCATGGCCAACTTTGGCTGCCCGCGCAATACCTCCGTGGGTTCCACTTATAGGCGATGCGGGGCAGAGTTAGCAAATATAAGGGCAAAGCGTGGGCGAGCCCCAGTTGGCGTGCTCAAGTAAAACTCCAGTAGGTCCCACCTCGGCCGTGAGGGGACCCAGTCGCGACGATGTGGACTCCACGATGGCGAAGCGTGGGGATGTCCGACTTGGGCTGCCCATGTAAAACCCCCGTGGGTCCCTCCTCGGCTCAACGGGGCACAAGGGCAATGATAGGAACTCCACGGCGGCTAAGCGCGGGCGCGCCCGACTTCAGCTGTCCATCTAAAACCCCCATCGGTCCCACCTCGTTTCTAGGGGAAAGAGGATACTGAGATGGGTGCTTCATGGCGGCAAAACGTGGGCATGCCCAACGTGGGGCGCCCATATAAAAGCCCCGTGGGTCCCACCTCGGCTGAGAGGGGGCCAAAGGCAATGATGTGGGCTCCACGGCGGCCAAGCGCTGGCATGCCCGAGCTGAGCTGCCCATCCAAAACCCGTCTGGGTCAAATCTCTGCTTCTTGGTAGCCAAGTTCACGAGGATTCAGGCTCAATGCTGAATGTGAGGGGGGCCAATGTGCGTTGCCCAGGTAGGCCCGCTGTGGGTCCCCTGTGACAACAAACATGGGCTGCCCAAGTAGTCCCCCTGTGGGTCCAACGTGGAAAGATTAGTGGCTGGCCATGTAGGCGCTGCCCAAGTATGCCGCTGTGGGTCCCCTGCGAACACCCTCATGGGCTACGCAAGTAGGCCGCCTGTGGGCCATGTGTGGGAAGGCCACGTGGGCTCTCCAAGTAGGCCCCTGTGGGTCCCCTGGGACAAGCCCATGTGGGCAGCCCAAGTAGGCCCACTGTGGGTGCACTGTGAAAACCCACTTGGGCTGCCGACGTAGGTCCACTGTGGGTCCCACGTGGGAAGCTTAGGGGCTGGCGACGTAGGCCCCTTGTAGGTTCTACGAGGCGGTCAAGGTGCGCTCTCCAAATAGCGCCCACCTCGACACCTTTTTAGGTGGTCTGTCAGGGACACCCCCTGTAGGTCCCACAAAGGGCCTATGTGGACCAGCCTAATAGGCTTTCGTGGGAAATACGAAGGAAAGTCCTGTGCGCTGCTGCAGTGGGAACCCTGTTGGTCTTACGGGGGAAGCCGAGGTGGGGCTGCCGAAGTAAACCCACCGTGGGTCCCATGAGGGAAGCACGGTGGACAACCAAAGTGGGGCCTACTTGTGCCCGAGTTGCAAAATCGACGTGAGACCCACGTGTTCTGCCCACTTCGGAACCCCCGTCGGCTCCCCATTTTGCAGTCGACATTGTGCTACTTGGCGTTCTCAAGGATAGAGCCGTTTCCACACTGCTGCAGCTCAGCACTGCTGCGAGGGCACATGGCTTCGTCTTGCAGCTCATTCGCACGCTCTCTCTTGTGAAGACTCCAGACGAATTGATGCGCTTGCGATAGCAGCTTTTTACGGCGCTAGGTCCCTGCAGAAGTACGATGTCTTTATGTACGCTTTGATTAGGGTGATGACATTTTACCCTTACGTTTTGAGCACTTATTTTAGAGCGCAGCTCTTTGTCGCCCACTTCTGGCTGGGGCGGCGTCGGCGTCACATCGCCGTCGGCATTGCCGTTGGCGTAGCCGCGCGGTGCATCATGGGAAACGTCCCATAACGCACCGCG